CTTAGGCTTTGAAATCAATTAGGCATTTTTGATATGATCACCCGAGAAGCATATACTAAGCAATTCCACCATAGATAAAGATATATTTAAATGAAATTTTATTCTGCTACTTATTTAAATAAAAGTGAGTGCAGCACACAGAAGAAATTCCTTTCCATCTTAGCTTTCACCAGCCCAGTTACTATTTGTAGGGTGACACGAACAGCCCTTCCAGTCCAGGGTCCCCCCAAATACATCCTCACTGAGTTTGAGAACCCTTGGTATATCTCATAACAGCCAGCAGGTTCAGAACATTACAAGCTTTCATAAAAGACCTTACTGAATATGTTTTTACAGTGCAATGACACAGCATGCAACCAGTTGGTTTAACTGCTTACTTATGTGGATTTAAACCTTTGGTTCTCCCGTTTGGGTGTCTGGACCCTGATTGTCATACCATGGTCCAGTGGTTAGGTTGCTAACTTGGGATGCAGGAGACCTCGTTCCGCCGCAGACTTCCCGTGTGACTCTGAGAAAGTCAGAGTCTCTCTCTGCTGCAGTTCCCCAGGTGGGGACAATAGCATTTCCTTATCACACAGGGGTAGTTGGTGGATAAATATATTAAAACTGCCAAGGTCCTCAAAGTACCTTAGTTAGAATTTTCCAAAAATATGGAAGGTAAGTATCTAACTATGAGCAAGATAATTATTACAACATTTATATCCCTATGGTTAATAGTTAGAGCCCTACCAAATTCACAATCCATTTTGGTCAATGTCACGGTCATAGGATTTTAAAAATCATAAATTTCATGATTTCTGCTATTTCAATCTAAAATTTCACAGTGTTGTAACTATAGGAGTCCTGACCCAAAAGACGGTATTGGGGGCATTGCAAGGTTATTGTAGGGGGGTTGTGATATTGTCATCCTTACTTCTGTGCTGCTGTTGGCAGCAGCACTGCCTTCAGCGTTGGGCAGCTGGACAGCAGCATCTGCTGGCCGGGAGCCCAGTTCTGAAGGCAGTGCCATGGCCAGTAGCAGCATAGAAGTAAGGATGGCATGGTATGGTATTGCCACCTTTACTTCTGTGCTGCTGCCTTCAGAGCTGGGCCCTCGGACAGCAGCCGCCACCCTCCGGCTGCCCATTGCCACCCTTACTTCTGCACTGCTGCTGACAGTGCTGCTTTCAGAGCTGGGCGCCTGGCCAGCAGCCACCACTTTCCAGCCACCCAGCTCTCAAGGCAGTGCAGAAGTAAGGGTGGCAATACCACAGCCCCCTACAATAACCTTGCAACCGCCCCACCCCCTCAACCCCCTTTTGGATCAGGACCCCCAGTTTGAGAAATGTTGGTCTCCCCTGTGAAATCTGTATAGTATAGGGTAATAGTACACAAAAGGCCAGATTTCACGGTGAAGACCAGATTTCATGGTCCGTGACAAGTTTTCCATGGCCGTGAATTTGGTAGGGCCCTATTAATAGTGGACACACACACACCATTTTATTTTTCCAGCTAAGGGTTAAAAAAAAAAAAAAAGACTCCCCACTGCTCATATTTAGTGTCAGTTCATTTTTTCAATCCTAGTGCAAGATCATCTTATTTGCATATGTGAGGCCAGATGAAGTACATCAAGAAAAGCAACCACATCGGTGGACACAATTAGCAACAATCGGTAACAGTCAGCAGCAGAATTTAAACAGGACAATTATATTGGTGTGGTAGCCAACACTACAGAATTTCATGGAGTTTTGACCCTCCAGAGGAAGAGATGACCAACCCCTGTCTGCAGAGTAAATTTAGTACAAGTAAAAAGGGGGAGGGGGAAAGAATTGTAGAACGACCAGTATTCTAAGTTGTCACAATCCATGATAGTCCAGGTTGCCCTTCTGCATACAATGTTTTTCTCTGTACAAGTGATCAACATATAACAACTTTATATTTAAATTAAAATAAGGAATTAGTAGCCTTCAAGTTCCTTGTTGACATCTGAGGTTGGCATTATAGTGAGCTCAAATATTCCAGAAATGGGAGGTGTTGTCACACTGGAACACACCTACTAATAGAGCCGGCTTCAGGAGAGAAACTGTAATCATTTCAGCCAGGGATAGTCAAATATTTTTTGTCAAGGTCCAAATTTCTTAGTCAAGGTATGGCCAAGATCCAGACTTCGGAGAAAATAATACAAATAATAACAACAATGACAATAATGAATAAATAAAAATCATTGTGGGGTCCATTCAAAAGCATCTGGTGGTCCAGTTTTGACCCATGATCTGAGCCCCCTCTGTCTCCCTTTACAGCAGGGAGCAGATTCGGATGGCCAGCGAGGGAGGTGACTTCAGCAGATGTTACTGACCATGTTCAGATGGCTGAAGCCTGCGCAGTAACAACAGCAAAGTAGCAAATTATGACCAGTAGCAGTTTGTAATATTATTCTGGCCCCTCCTACCAGGACTAAACCCAATGAGACATTTTTAATCTCCCCCTCCCTCCCTCCCAGGCACAGAGCCTCTGAACCAAACCACTGAAAGGAGCAGAATCAAAGGAGACGCTCTGCGGGATCGCCCCTGACACTGTCCCCAGGGCAGCGCATCCCCCCAGCAGCGCGGGGACCAGGCAGAGGCAGGAACTGGCGTTTCCTCTCCCTGCTCCTCCCCAGAAAAGTCAATCTGCCCCGGGGCGCTGCAGGGAATGGGGCTGGGCAGGGCTGGGAGCCGGGAACCTCCCTCCCCACTGATTGCTCCTGCCAGTCTCTGCCCCTGTCTCCCTCCTGCCCCCTCTCCCCTCGGGCTGGGAGACTCGGTCCCTGGCCGTTGGTGCAGAGTCACTTTCCTGCCCGGCTCCAGCCCTTTCCCCCGGGTCTCTCCACTCACCTGCAGGCTCCGGCTCAGGGGCTGGTGTCGGCAGAGCCCGGGGCTGCCCCAGGGGCTGGTTGCAGCCACCGGAGAAAGTCCCCCCGGCTGGCCACAGAGTCTGTCCCCGCACAGACCCCGCTGGGCAGCAGCAGCTGCTCAGCCCCGGCTCCCGGCTCATACACCAGGCAGGCGGCACCGTCTGACCCGGGAGGAAGTTCAACCCCGATATCCTGAGCAGGGAGAGCGGGATAGTTCAGCGATCAGCCGCCTCCTTTCCCCGAGCCCTGAGCAGAGCCCCCTGGCGGCAGCAGCTCCGGAAATGCAGATACAATGTTGACCCAGCCCCAGGTCGGGAACAGCTGCCCAGCAACACTGTAGCCAGGGGAGCGCTCCGGGTGCTGCGACTGGTGGCGTGGGCGCTGCTCTCTGTGCTCAGCACAGCCGGGGAGCTGCGATTTATTGCTGCTGCTTCTCCTGGGAGCCGGGAGCCCACCAGGCGGAGCCGGAGACTCCAGGTAATTGAGGGAGAACTGGGGGGAAAGTGCTGGGTGTCCCCTCCTCCTCACCCCATCGCTGCTCCCCGCGTGTCTGCCAGTCTCGGACTTTAGCGCAGAAATTTTCCCTGCAGGGGCTTAGGGGTGGGGTAGGGGGTCGTGGTTCAGGTGAAGGATATGGAGAGAAAGGCCTTAGGGATAGCAGGATCAGGCCCCAGCGGGGGTCCCCCCAGTGCCTGGGCGGAAGGGGAGGGGTGAGCAATAAGGAGATGGAGGGGAAAGGGGGGGTAAAGGCAGCATGGTTGTGCGGGGGGGCACCCCAGCTAGAGGAGAAGAGTGGGGGGCTCAGGGGAGTGTGTGGGGAGGTTATTCGTCATTTAAAAATCTACCCCATTATCTTGAGACAAGCCGGGGGGGGTCCCTGTGAACTCCGCAGCGATGGGTAAATCTCCTCAGCATTCCAGTGCTGACAGGGGCCTGTTTGCTCCACACCCATCAGGTCTGAAAGGACTGAGGCCAGGTCTACATGACAGACCTATGTTGGTATAACTACATGGCTGGTGTGTAAAAATCCACCTTACCCACCCACCCAGATTCAGAGGGCAGGTGAGGGTAGCAGCTTCAGCAGATGTTACCGAGCCTGCTCAGACTGCTCCGGCCTGCTCAGCGACAGCAAACTAGCAAATGTTCACCATCCCTTGGGAGGATCTGGAGCAAAACGTGGCCGTTATTCAGCAGCCTGGCAGGGCAAGAAGGGCAATTGGGGAAGCTCAGCAGGGGCTTTAGTTCATGTCACACCCCGATTCCCCCCAGGCTCTTTCCCTGCAGACAGATGCTCTGGGCTTTAGTTACAGCTGGTCCCACTGACTGGGCTGCAGCCCAGGTTGGTAGCGAGGGACCAAGGAAGGAGCTGAGCAGCTAAGAGCCTTTGTAACAGATGCTGGCAGGGGAAAGAGGGAAGGGGGAGAGTTAAGGGCTCTGAGGCTTTTCTGCAATACAACTATACAGTATATCTAGATAGCGTAACCGAGCATCATGCACTGTGTGACTCCTGCTTTTGACTGATTAGTAATCAAGGCTCCTAGAAGAAGCTACTGCTGCCTCCATTGTGATCTGGAGACCTGGACCAAGCAACTGCTGCTCTGTGTCAGGGAGAGACCAGAGAAACCAATGGGGGACTTTCTGCAGTGGCTGGACCCAGCCCCTGGGGCAGCCCCGGGCTCTGCCGACACCAGCCCCTGAGCCGGATCCTGCAGGTGAGGGGAGAGACCTGGGGGAAAGGGCTGGGGCCGGGCTGTAGAGGATGGGTTCCTCTAAAGCACTGGGAAATCTAGTTGACAAGCTACATCAGGCAGGGTGATTAGTCCCCGCTGTCTCTCCCCCTAGGGCAGGTCTCTGTGGCTCTGGTCTTTGACTGAGCCTGACCCACTGCACAGGGACTGTGAGGCTGAGGGGGGTAAAGAACTTTGAGAGCCCCAGATGCAAAGTGATAGAGAGGGGCAGGGCTGGGGCATGGTTATAATTTCATTGGTTTTTTTTTCCATAGAAAACGGACACTCCCCAAAACTCTGAAATAACAGGGACAAAATATTTAAACATGGTCTCTGAATTGGCATCCAAAATGTAGCCTCCCCTGGGATGTTTTAATATGCTGGGTATGTGCACATGGATGCCATGTGCACACTCTGATGGAGGGCGAGAGGGATGCATGCAAAAGAGTTGTGGGTGCAGAGCTGTGGGTGCACATGCAAAGGGCGATCCTGGATCAACAAGGTAAAAACATGACTAAGCATCTTCCCCAGTGTCACAGAGTTTAGAATTGCTCCAGCCGTTGTTCTCACCCTGGCAAGCTGCAGAGTAACAGCCATATTTTGCTCCAGATCACCCAGTCCTCCCAGGGGACAGGGAAAGGACAGAACTGCTGGTGGGTTTGGTCTGGGTATAGATGGGGAATGCAGAAAGGTAGGAGCCCAGCAAGTGAAATCCCTTCTGAGCCTGCTTTAATGTGGGGCATAAGTTGCAGGGACAACCCCAGCAGGAGGGGGTGGAAATTCCCCTATGAGAAGTAACAAACGACTGACCACGCAGACATCAGAGGCGCACAGCCAGCGCATTCAAGTCACTCTGGAAAGTTGGGAACTGGGCTTGAATATCACAAGGTTTAAAAATACACTTTGTGGGGAGGGGTGATTTTATTTATCTTCTGGTGGTTAAGCCTGTGGGGGGAAGCGACCTGCCCCCTTAGTGAGAGAGAGCGAGAGAGAGCGAGAGAGAGCGAGAGAGAGAGAGAGAGAGAGTGCGTGTGTGTGCATATTGCATCACAAGAGCAAAACTCTACCTGCCACAATGCACATGCAAAATTGCAGCCTCCCTCCTCACAGGGAGACTCCACCCACTGACCCTCCCCTACTCCTGGGATAGGGGGAGCTGCTACTCTGTGTCCAACTCCACACTCTTCCTCATCACTGCCCTGTCACCAGTCTCTTCTCCCCTGATCCTCACAGTCTCCTCTTCACATCTGCCCCTCTAGTCACCTGCTGTTCCCTTTACACCTTCCGTGTACCTCTCGCATCAGCCACCCCACATGCCCCTTTGCTCCCTATCTGCAAACCCCCACAGCCTCCAACCCTGCACCCCACATTCCCCTGCACTCCCTAATCCATGACATTCCCCTAAATCATTGTCAGGCTCAGTCTGGTCCCCACAAATTCCCCTGCACTGCTCTCAGCCTCCCTCTATCCCCCCGAACATACTCCTATGGGCCTCTGTTTCCCTCTTGTCCCCATGTGCCTTGCATCATCCCTCATTCTCCCTGCTGCCCCTCACTCATTACCCTCTTCTGTCTGTCTCCTGCTCCCCTCCCAGGATCTCACTCACCTCCTCCCCCCTCAGTCTGCCCCCTGGACATGGACGACCCTGCGCACTGCCCCACAATCCACCTCTCGCCCCCTCCACCCCTCACTAATTCCCCTGCACCCTCCTCAGTCTTGCTCTAGCTTCCCGTGTCTCCCTTTCTATGCATGGTGTCTCCTTGTCAGAGGATGTTGTGAAGGCCAAGACTATAGCAGGGTTCAAACAAGAACTAGATAAATTCATGGAGGTTAGGTCCATGCCAGGATGAGCAGGGATGGTGTCCCTAGCCTCTGTTTGCCAGAAGCTGGGAATGGGCAACAGAGGATGGATCACTTGATGATTACCTGTTCTGTTCATTCCCTCTGGGGCACCTGGCATTGGCCACTGTCTGTAGACAGGATACTGGCCTAGATGGACCTTTGGTCTGACCCAGTATAAACCATTCTTATGTTCTTATATATCCAGCCAACTAACCACAGGGTCCCAGCCATATTCCCTGAGGAGAGCATAGCTTTAACCATACTGAAAACAATAGGAGCTGGTGACCATTACTAGGAGCTGCCTTACTTCCACATGCCTGGAAGATCTGTAGGGAAATGGCGGCCATCTGGAATAATAATGAATAATGATTGAATGAACAATAATAGTCCTCAACTCTACTACGGGAACATTCATAGGTATTACTAAGGTGGCTCCCCAAAATGCCAGCCTTTTCCAAGAAAAATTTCGAGACAAATGAACCATGAAACCAATGATGTACCTGAGATATATCAATGATATTTTCATCCTATGGACAGATCACCTCAGCTCCCTCACAGATTTCCACCACAACTTCAACAACCATCACCCATCCATTAAACTCTCTCTGGAATACTTCCACACTAGCATCAACTTCCTGGACAGCAATCAGCTGCAATAATGGAACCCTACAGACAGCAATATACAAGAAACCCACAGATCACCACACATACCTTCACAGATCCAATAATTGCCCCAAACATACCAAGAAATCAGTTATCTACAGCCAGGCACTCAGATGCCACAGATTATGCTCTGAGGAAAAAGTCCAGGATACATACCTTAACACACTTAAAACCACCTTTACCAAACAAGGACACGCCGCCAAAGAAGATGGCTCCATCAATGACTATTGGTCTGGATGGGCAGACCAGAACACACCAACTCAAAGCAGCACCAGACCCTGCCAGAACAACAGATGGAAAACCTGCAGACATATCTCCACTGCTACAATGATCAACACCCCCCAGAACACACCTTTCAAGATCCATGGGTCCTACACATGCCCATCATGACATGGGGTGTACCTCACCCAGTGCACTAAATGCCCCAGTAACAACTACGTGGGTGAAACCAGACAATCTCTATGCTCTCGAATGAACTGACACATAAAAATGCAAAAAGACAAAAACGCTCTATCACCTGTGGGTGAGCACTTTTCACAAAATGATCACTCTGTATGTGAACTCTCAGTCCTCATCCTCAAAAGAAACCTGCTCCATACCTTCAAAAGACGAACCTGGAGGCTTAAATTCATAACTTTGGTAGACTCTAAAAATCATGGACTGAATAGAGACACTGATTTTATGGCTTACGGTTTTATTACAACAATCTGTAACTCTCTAACCCTCTTTTTGTTCTATGACTACTACAGTGGTGCTAACAGGCCACTTCACCTTGAATGGGGCTTTGTAAGCAATCTGTTCCACTTTGCATTTAGCTGTGACACCCTGAGTTTAGTACTTTTCCCAGACCTGGAGAAGAGCTCTGTGTAAGCTCGAAAGCTTGTCTCTCTCCCCAACAGAAGTTGAACCGATAAAAGATATCACCCTTGTCTCTCTTGAATAAGGACGGCTTGACTTCAGCATTTCTGAAGGTAATGGGAGATGAACAAGGGAAAACAAGTGAGTTCTGCGTCAGGAATTGTGAGATCATGGGAAACTTCTAAAACTCCAGACTAAATATCATGAGATTCATGATGCATTCAGTAGAGTCGGTGGCTCTTGGGCATCAGGTTTTCACCTCACAACCAGTATGTTTTCAATTAAAGCGTCTGGAAATTTTCCACCTCTCCCCAGGAAAGTTCCCTGTTCTCTGCGGGGAGGGGGATTTTCCAGCCCTCTCCTGGAGTGAACTGGTGGGATTGTGACTGGGGCAGCAGGAAATGAATGAGGATCTCTTGCTATTTCAGGGGCCAGTGACCTTCAAGGAGACTCATCATGCAGGAGAATTGTGAGAATGTGACCTCGCTGGGTAAGGATTCCTGTACCCTTAGGAATTAGAAGCTGGGGGTGGGGGTGTCTCTGAGGCACCTGGGTTGGCTTCTGCTCAGGGTTCTTCCCTGCTCCCTTATATTTCGGGGGGATCAGCCCCATCACCCCCAGAATCCATATGACCACTCCACACCCTCTTTCAAGGGAGAGGAGATTCAGAGATGCATTGGAGATGCTAGTCCATCCCCAGAACTTCCAATGGAGAGGAAGAGTTGCATGTTCCTCTCCTCCGTATTATTAAACATGGGCGCACAGTGTCCCTCCCTACAGAGAACTGGGTCTATGCCTGGAGAGGGCTTTGGTCTCACAATATTAGAAAGGAGTAAGAGATGGTCCAATTCCTAAACCAGAGTCATAAGACTCCCCAATTTATGGAGATCCCGGGATCTCCTTCCGCGGAATCACATGCCACTATAAACACCCGACCTCCCCCAAAGGATCTCCAAGACCATTTTTCAATCCATTTGGTTTATACAAAGGCACTACCTGGCACATCTGGAAACAGCTGTGCCTGAGAATAACTGTAAAACCCTAGTCTCAGCCTCAGCTGTTTTCTTTCCCCTGAGCTGGGTTTCCAGTTCCCACAGCCAACATGATCTCCTAGCTGGAAATGGGGGAAGAGCCATGAGTCCTAGCTCACCAGGGCTCCATGGAAAGAGAGATCCTGAGAGGTGCCGGTCAGGTGAGGAATTGTTTGAACAGACGCAGAAATCATCCAGCCTTGGCATAAACATCTGGGATTCTCACACAGGCCCCATAAACTCCCCCATTTCTACCTCATCTCAACCTAGTCAAGATTATGCCCATGAGGTGTCATATCTTCCTGGCAGATATTACTCATGGCTTTCCTCCCACCCTGACCAACATCTGGCAGCAGCTCATGTCTCTCTGAATGTTCAGATAGGATGAAGAGGCAAAATTGGTCCTCTCCTCTCTCTCTGTTTGGAGGAAGGTCTTGGGATTCAGATTCTACTCCTGAGTTTTTGATCTCCCCAGAAGTTATTTGGGTTTGTTTTCCCCATTCTCATCCCCTTTCTCAGGTACCCTTTCCCCCTGGCACAGGGACTGACTCCTGTCTTGATTCTCTCTCTGTCCCAGCAGGTGATGTGATGGTGAGTGAGAACGAGGAAGAGAGTCCTCAGCAGAAAAGTCTTGAGCAAGTGGAACCGCGTGGGATATTGCTGGGAAGACCTGAAGAGGGTATTTTCCAAAGTTCTGAGCTGGGAGAATCCTGTGAGACTCAATACAGGCCAGAGGGGCAGCTGGGAAACCCCCCAGGAGATGGACAGGGAAAATCCAGTCACCGTGGGGGAGATTTGGAGGACCTCAATGGGACCACAGTGCAGCTGAGAATCAGCACTAAAGAGAAACGGCATGAATGTGCTGAGTGTGGGAAAAGCTTCAACCAGAGATCAAACCTGATTGTACATCAGAGAGTTCACACAGGAGAGAGACCTTATAGCTGCCCTGACTGCAGGAAAAGCTTCAAGCAGAGTTCAGACCTTCTTCGACATCAAAGAATTCACACAGGAGAGAGGCCCTACCGATGTCCCATCTGTGGGAAAAGCTTCAATCAGAGCTCAGAACTTAGTAAACATCAGAGAACCCACACGGGAGAGAAACCCTATAAGTGCCCTGAGTGCGGGAAAAACTTCAATCAGAGCTCAGAACTTGTTAAACATCAGAGAATTCACACAGGAGAGAGACCCTATAGGTGCTTGGACTGTGGAGAAACCTTTAGCCAGAGCTCACATCTTATTGTGCATCAGAGAATCCACACGGGAGAGAGACCCTATAAGTGCCCCAAGTGTGGAGAAAGTTTCAGTGTGAGATCAGTCCTTACTACACATCAAAGGATCCATACAGGTGAGAAACCCTATAAATGCCCCATCTGTGAAGAAAGATTCAGTCAGGTCTCAGCCCTTATTACACATGAGAGAATCCACTCCGGAGAGAGACCCTATAAATGCCCGGACTGCGGGAAAAGCTTCACGCAGAGCTCAGCCCTAATTAGACATCAGAGAACCCACATGGGAGAGACACCCTATAAATGCCTAGACTGTGGGAAAAGCTTCAAGGCGAAGGTCTCTCTAATGTCCCACCAGAAACTGCACACAGGATAGAAGGTGTCGGGAGCTTTCCCTGCAGGGCAATGGGTCTGTGCCCTCCTGAAGCAAAGTGTAAATGTGCTTCCTTTGAGGATGATCTGGGTAAGGACAGCAGACAGGTGGATGGTTGGGGTTTCTATGGGAGGTGGTTGGCGGAGCCCGGAGGAGGAGGAAATGCTGGGCACTGGGGAGATGAGTCATTTCAGGGTTCGAGGGGAGCAAGTGGTGGGATCAGTGGGGAGATGTTTCTGTGGGTTCCACACACACTTTCCAGTGTAGGGAAGAAGTAAAAATGTCCCATTATCATTTGTGTCTGAGTCATCTCTGCGGCTTCTAGGGCACCTTGAGGCAGGGACAGGGGAATGATATTCAGGGAAGCAGCAAGGGGCCCTGCATGGCTGTAGTTATACAGCAGGAAGAGCTGCCGATCTGAAGTGACAGGATGTCTGAGCTAGGGTGACCAGACAGCAAGTGTAAAAAATCGGGACGGGGGTGGGAGGGTAATAGGTGCCTGTATACAAAAAAGCCCCCAAAATCGGGACTGTCCCTATAAAATTGGGACATCTGGTCACCCTAGTCAGAGTGATGCTCAGTGTATTGGCCAGCTCTGCAGATGCAGGAAGCTGGCTGGGGACTGGGGAATTCGTGGTGGAGATTCCCCAGAGAGGTGGGGTCCTTGGGGGATTGCACTGTTCCCGTGAGGGCGGGGTGGTGTAATAGCGAGAGCAGGGGGAATTCGGATGCAGGAATCCTGGAGAGGGGGCTGATGTCTAGAGGTTAGACTGGGGTGAAGGTGGCAGTCAGGTTTCCAGGGTTGGGTAACCAGCTCTGCTAATGTCTCCTGTGCAGTCACTTCCCTCCCCTTCCTCCCGTCTCTACAATGGAAATAATAATTACCCACCTCCCTCAGAAGTGGAATTACTGTGTATTCAGTGGCTTAGGAGGACAGAAGCACTAGGGGAGGGCAAGTTTCATTATCATTATTGCTATTAGTTTTCCAAGACTGGGGTTTTCTTTTCAGTTTCAGGTTGTTTCAGTGTTTTCCCCATCAACTTTAATGGCCCATTGATGGTCTTTTCCTGGGTTGTTGTGATCCTAGGCACCACGGGATTCACACCCTGCACACTACTGCAATAATATCTGTGCAAAATATGCCTTATGAGCCATAGGCACCAACTCCGTGGGTGCTCCGGGGCTCAAGCACCCACAGAAAGAAAATAGGGGGTGCTCAGCACCCACCATCCACAGTGGTTCCAGCCCAGGCTGGCCACTGATCAGCTGTCAGCGGGCCCCGAACGGCCAGCAGAGCAGCGAGCAGCTAGTGGAAGGCGCTTGGGGTGGGAGGCGGAGAGAAGCTAGCAGAGGGCATGTGAGGGATGGGCCTCGGAGAGAGGGGCAGATTGGGGGTGGGAAGAGGCAGAGCGGGAGTGAAGCACCCACTGGGGGGAAAAAAGTCAGCGCCTGTGTTGTGAGTTATCATTCAAAAACTAATAACACGCCGGTCAATATCATTCAGAATTGTATGTGACAGGGCTGTAGGTGGAACTCTGGATACTCACTGCCTTAAAGCCTGTGATTAGAAGGTGTTTAAACCAGGCGTGTCAGGGAGAGTTGATAAACAAAAGGTTTTCTCCAGACAAAGAAAAGAGGCCAACACCTGAAACCAGGTGTGGCCAAATTCAGTAGGCTATTCGTTTGTATCGGAGCTTGCAGGAAAAGATCATTTGCATCGTCTAAATCGCCAGCAGAAGAGAAGGTGAGGCAGCATAGAGGCAGACAGCATGGGATAGCATCCACCCCCAGCAGGGAAAAGGAACTGTAGCTGGGGAGACATGTCAGAAGAAGACATTTCTCAGGTTTACTGGATTATAAAGAGACAGGGAGCAAATCCCTAAATTATCCTTCAGCTGAGGAGACAAGGAAAACCAGCACCTTGAACTCCGACAGCGGGGCTCCTGGCTGAAAGCTAGCCAGCCATTGCTGGGAACGGAAGATAGGGTGACCAGGCAGCAAATGTGAAAAATTGGGATGGGGTGGGGGGTAATAGGAGCCTATATAAGAAAAAGACCCAAAAATCAGGACTGTCCCTATAAAATCGGGACATCTGGTCACCCTAATGGAAGACTAGTGAGGAAACTACCTTGTACGAAGATTGGAGCTTGTTAACTTAGCTCCTAGCCATTAGGAAGCGTATTTTTACTTTTGTTTGTTTGTAACCCTTTCTATCTTTATTCCTTCTACCAGGTATCACTTAGGGCTTGGCTACACTTGCAAGTTAGAGCGCATTAAAGCAGCCCCAGGCACCCTAACTCCCGATCCATCCACACTGGCAAGGCACTTAGAGTGCCTGGACTCTGCAGCTGGAGCGCTCCTGGTAATCCACCTCCACGAGAAGCATAACGCTTGCTGTGCCTCGGCTGAAATGCCCGAGCATCAGTGTGAACGAGGTGTTGCATTACTGCGCTTTGATCGGCCTCCAGAAACGTCCCATAAATCCCCTTAAGTCAAGAGGCCACTCTTGTCATTTTTTTGGAATCGGCTGTAGGAATGCGGCTATCCCCTTTCAGAGCTCCATTTCTGACAGCCGGCTGCTTATCTGCTCCGGGACAAAGCAAGCCATTAGTGTGGAATGCTGCTTGTTGTGAGTGTGTGAGAGAGAGGCGGGGGGGAGGGAAGGGGTCTGAACTTACAAGACAGCATGCTGACGCACTCTCAGCACCCCAAAAACCCACTCTCTCCCCCCCTACATACACACAACACACTCCCTGTCACACTCCACCCCACCCCCTGCATTTGAAAAGCACGTTGCAGCCACTTGAACGCTGAGCTAGCTATCACAATGCACTGCTCTTTGTGGCGTTGCAAGAGCTGCTACTGTGGCCATGCCAGTGCGCTTCCAGTTGAGAGTGTAAACACACGGCAGCGTTTTCCCTGCTGCGGTCTCCGAAGGCTGGTTTAACTCCCAGTGCTCTACATCTGCAAGTGTAGCCATGCCCTTAAGCTATGACTTTTGTTTAATACACTTGTTTTACTTTCAATACAAAGCAACTCAGGGCTGTGTTTCAAGGGAAGGGTGTATTTACCCTAGTTCAGTTAACAAGCTGTAACGTACTGACTCTTTAACAGAGAAGTGAACTTAATATCTTCTGTGAATGTAGAGTGATGGGGGCTGTGCATTGCAGAGAGCCATTTTGGAGGCATTCGGGGGCTGGAGTTCACCAGTTGTTAGCAGGGTTGGGCTGGGAGAGTGCTGAGCAGTTTGCTGGTGAGGAAAACAGAGAGGTGTGGTAGGGAGCTGACACACCGTCTAATCTCCAGCACAACTCACTTTTGCTGAGGCCAAGGGGTAACACAGTGGCTCCCAGCTCTGGATGTCCCCAGTGGCTTGTTAAGGTGGTGCCATGTACTAGGACGGGGGTGGCCAAACGTACTGACCCTCTGAGCCGCATCCGATAATCTTCATAACCTCACGAGCCGGGCGCGCCTGCTGGGGCTCGGGGCTTCAGCTCTGTGGGGCTCCCCTGCCGGGGCACAGGGCTTCTGCCCCATGGCAGGCATCTGCCAAGGCTCAGGGCCCCAGTAGGCGCACCCCACGGGGCTGAAGCCCTGAGCCCCACCAGAGGGCAGAAGCCACGAGCTCCCCTCCCCGCCTGTCTGTTAGGCAGAGGGCGGGGGGCATCCCCCATTAGCCAGGATGGGGAGGGATGGTGTCCATAGCCTCTGTTGCCAGAAGCTGGGAATGAGCAACAGGGGATGGATGACTTGATGATTACCTATTCTGTTCATTCCCTCTGGGGCACCTGGCAATGGCCACTGTCGGAAGACAGGATACTGGGCAAGATGGACCTTTGGTCTGACCCGGTGATGGCCGTTCTTATGGTGGGCTCCGGGAGCCGCACTTTAACTATAAAAGAGCCACAGGTGGCTCACAAGCTGCAGTGTGGCCACCCCTGTACTAGGAGCTAGTCCTCACCTTTCTTCTATCAGCCTGTCCCATAGCTCAGTGGTTAGGCTGTGTGACGAAGTGGGGGGTTTTCTTGTTTTCAGTGGAGTTTCAAGGGTTTGCATGCGGAGGGGGTGGGACTCAGTTTCCCTGGGTGTTACTGGTTTAACGAGGTGAGGGGAGAGGGAGTGTGTTTTGCAGAGGACCGGAGAGAGGACGTGGGGACCCAGCCGGTGGCCGGGAGGATGGGTACCCCAGCGACCGGTGACCTGGCGACCTGGTGACCCAGAGGCCCAGCTGAGGAGACGCAGCCGGTTCTGGCCAGTGGGAGGACAATGGGCTGCAGAGTGAGGACCCAGTGACCTAACCAGCCGGTTCCAGCCAGAGGGAGAAGCAGGAGAGGAGGCCCCGGTTTACGACCCTGTTTACCTGGAGGGAAGACAATGGACAGAGGCGGGGCCTGGGGCCGGGGATCTCGGATGCCCAGCGGCGAGCAGGGGGGCTCTGGGCTGGAGAGGGGAAGCAGGCAGAGCCCACCTGGATGCAGGGAGACTGGGATGTGCTGGGCTGAGGGAGGCCAAGCCTGAGGGTCAGAGAGTTTCCTGTGCTGTGTTCAACTCTCAATAAACCCTTCTGTTTCATGCTGGCTGAGAGTCACTCCGGTCTAGAGAACAGGGTTGCATCAACCCCTTCGGGGGTGGAGGCCCCGGGGGTCCAGAGCGAGTGGACTCCCTGAGGGGGGCCACGGCAGAGACAGACGTGCTAAGGCTCAGAGAGGTGCGGATCCAGGAGGTGGAGGGGCCGGACCCTGAGAGAGAGTGGATCCCCGAGAAGGGCTGTCTCACTAAAAGGGGCACCCCCCATGGACCGCACGGGGCCTGACCCCGAGAGAGAGTGGACCCCCGAGAAGGGCTGTCTCACTAAAAGGGGCACCCCCCACGGACCGCATGGGGCCAAGAGTGGGCACGATCTGTGAGTCCGTGACAGGCTGCTCTCATGACAGACTACGCTGTTTGGAGCCTTTCTCCCTCTGAGGTAGAAGGTGGCATCTTGAACCTGGGTCTCTAGCACCTCAGGTAAGTGCTCTAGCTACTGGGTTAAAAGTTAGTTGTGTGGGTATTGCCACCTTCTCCATGGCTGTTTGTTTTGCATGGAGTGAGGCAGGCGCCTACCTCATTCTCACAAGAAACAGTGTAGGTGCCTAAGCCGCCGGCTCCAGGAGAGGGGCCACCCATGGATCACAATCAGAGCAAGGTGCCCAACTCCATGAGAGGGACTTGGGACACACACCCCGCATTGGCATCTCCCACTGACTGTCTGAGGGGGCTCTCCTCTCCACGGAGCGTGCCAGCTTTTGTGGATCCCAGTCTAAGGCCCCCTCTCTCCCACGCATTGGGGGAGGGGGGCGGGGGAGGAGCCGAGGTGGCTCACTCAAGCTTTGTGGATTCCAGTGTTGTTCCAGTGATTTTCAAGGTGACTAAAAGCAATGGCGGATTAACCAATGGGCCCACAGGGCCTGTGCACAGAGGCCCCGGCCAATTAGGGGCCACCGGAAAAATGGACGCCCCACCC